AACAAGTCAAGTGGCTTTGTACCAACAAGATTTTATCCAAACTTAATTTTCATCTGAGAAGCCAAAAAACAGCCTTATTTTTTGTCATCCAAATGCCCTCAGTAATCTATGTCGGTTGTACACTCTCAGAGTCACATATATAGTATATAAGCTATATTTGTGAAGTTTTAGTTGTAAAAACAAATGCATACATGCATTTTATAATCTAGGTCTGTACAAAGTAAATTTTTACTGACTATATAGACTTTAGCCAAGAGTAGATGGAAACAACTTTTACTCCTTTGTCATTCAAATTTCTTAAAGTAAGTTGTCATGTCGGTCGATACACACAGAGTTTTCGGCATAATGATAATCTATGTAAAGTAAAGTTGTTCCCAGATCCAATCCCGACATTGGGGATCGCCTTGTTAGTGAGACAACTTCCTGGGCCTTCGGTATATAGTATATTGTGGTAGGGTGGTCAGTTCCTTTCCACGCTGCCTTTACTTCCCCAACTTGAATTTCAAGTTGAAATCAGGCACCCATTACTTCTGGGTGGGCAGGACGGGGCGAAAAAATCCGTGTCCGAGGCTCGAACCTGGACTTTCTGCTTCGGAGACAAGCGCACTAACCACTTCGCCACCGCATCCTATATCATCATCATTGCCTTTCTCACCCTGGGTCAAGATATTGGCCACGAACAAACACTCTCCACCTTTCACTATCCTGGGCTTGTCGTTTGATGTCACTCCACGTCTTCCCAATTTTCCGTACATCACTTTCCGTGACTCTTCTCCAGGTTCCATGAGGTCTTCCCCTTGATCTTTTACCCTGTGGGTTCCAATCTAACACTTTTCTTGTTATGTAGCTGCTTGACTTCCTGAGAGTGTGTCCAATCCATCGCCAGCGTCTTCTTCCCATCTCATCTCTGGCTGGGCTCTGTCTGGTTCTTCTTAATACTTCCTCGTTGGTGATCCTGTCTGTCCATTTGATCCTCAGTAGCTTCCTCAGACACTTGCTTAAGAAAACCTGGATCCTCTTTATGCACGTAAGGGATGCGTTCCACCTCTTACATCCATACAACAAGACTGACTTCACATTTGAGTTGAAAATTCTAAGCTTTGTTCGTAATGAGATATATCCTATATAGGCCTATTCAAAAGTGTAGATCTATGTCTAGTAGAAAAAACAAACAATATAAATAATTTTGTTGTACAACCTGAGTCCGTACAAGTAACTTCGTACTAACAAGATTTTAGCCAAGCCTTGTTTTGATCTGAGAAGATGGAAACAACCTTTTTTTTCTGTTATGTCA